GGGAAGGTTCCAAACACAAAGAAATAGTATAGTCTGTTCTGGGGCTTGCTTGTTGAACCAACCCCCAAAGGCTTTGGGGTGTAAAAGGTCAGCAGGCCCTTTGGCTCCAGGGTAACTTATAATATTTGATGGCCTTGATAAAAGGCAGCCCCCTTGATAAAAGGGGAATTTGCCATGGAGAGGCCTCCCAAAAGGCTGAAAGGCTGGAAGTTAGACCAGTCAAGAAAACATCCTTGTGAAAAGGATGAAAAGCTTGAGCCAAACAAGTCCAGCCCTTTGTGCACAAGGCTGCTTGAACTTTGGTCCCTGGGAAAAATATCAGCAGTCCAGGCTGCAGAGATAGCACACTTGGCCATTTTGGAAGGAAGCTCCACTGCTGAAACCATGGCCTTGGCCAAATGTGGTAACTTTGGCCAAAACCCTGGCAGTGCCCACAGGGACTTGGTCAGCCACTTTTGCAAAAACATCAAAGTATGTGACCCAATGCCAGTCACTGTTGATGTCCTTGACCCCAACACCAGGAAGCACACCACGGAAGAAGCCTCCCTGTTTCTTCCCCACATTCTTTTCAGCAACATTGCTGAGCACTACACAGAGGTTTTCTTGGACCTGTTCTGCTTCAATGAAGCAGAATCTTTTTGGCAATGTGCTGAGAGGTCCAAGGACCCCAGGCTTGCCCCACCAATCACCCTTGGTAAAAGGGTCAGGGATCCTTCCCACACATGCCCTATCTTTGTTCATGGTGATGGTGTGGAATACCAAAACCGAGACAGCCTGATGACATGGTCATGGGGCCCTTTGCTCAGCCAAAAGGAGAGCTTAGCAGCCCACCTGCTCCTGGTTGCCTTTCCAAAGAACTGCTCTGTGCCCACAACTTGGGGGCCTCTTCATGACTGGATTGCCTGGAGCTTTGCAGCCTTGATAAAAGGCACGCACCCTTCCCAAGATCCATATGGGAATGGCCTGCCACCTTCACTGGCAGAGCTGGCTGGCCTGCCCTTGACACCAGGCAACCACAGAGCTTGCATCTACAGCATACAGGGTGACCAAGAATTCTTCTCAAACATCTTGAAGATGCCACACTGGCAAAACAAATTCCCCTGTGCAGAATGCGATGCCCAAAAGCCTGCATTCAAGGGCATTAAGTGTCCTGATGGGAAGAGTGTCAAGCTTCTCAAGCTGATCAAAAGTTTGTATATGTCTCCCCTGAGCAAGCCCTCCTTGTTAAAAGGAGCGCCCATCCACTTTTTCAGGTGCCAGGCATCAGCGCAGCCATGGTGCGAGGAGACTCCCTCCACATCCTGTACTCCAGAGGAGTTGCTTCACACCTTGCAGGCTCTTTGATCCATTACTTGTGCTACTTTGATGGTGTGAAAGCAAGGCAGGCAGTGCCACCCAGCCAAAGGCTCCAAAAGCTGTTTGGCAGAATTAAGGAGCTCTATGTCCAAAATCAGGTCTCCTCCAGGTTGACCAACCTTCGCCTCTCCATGACTTGCCCTGATGCTGCCAAGCCTCACAAAAGCTTTGCGTGCCTTGAGGCAAAGGCTGCTGAGACTAAGCACCTGCTGCCCTGTCTGTTGCAGGTGTTGCGAGAAGCTCTGCCAGAAGATGACCCCATTCATCAAGCCATGCTGGCCTGCCTAGAAGCATTGATTCAGATTGCTGATCTGTATGATGCAATTGGGCTTTTTCCTACTTCTGAGGAGTTCTTGCAAGCCGCCAACCTTGCCAAAAGGTTCTTCAGCAACTACCATGATCTGAACCAGTGGGCCTTGCTAAAAGGCAGAAAGCTCTTTCACATCACTCACAAATTCCATTCCTTTCATCATCTCATCCTGAATTCAAAATATTTGAATTATAGAATCCATTCCAATTACAGAGCAGAGCACTTTGTGGGCAGAATGAGTGTGTTGACACATTCCACTGCCTTTGGGGTAAAATCCTCCAAGCTCAGCTCCAAGCTTGCAGTGAAATATAAATGTCTTCTTCACCTGCAACTCAGCAGGCCAGGTTTTGGCCAAGAGGGACAAGCCAGCTGACTATTGACTGCACAAGCTTCTGCTATAGAGGGTGCCCTTGCTAAAAGGGTGGCAGGCTGCTCTCCTTGTCCTGCTGCTGCAGGAAATGCCCTTGCTAAAAGGGTGGCAGGCCCCCATCCCTTTCCTGCTGCTACAGGAATGCCCTTGCTGAAAGGGTGACAAGAAAGCACCTTCTCCTGCTTCTGTAGGCATGCCCTTGCTGAAAGGGGGACAAGCTCCTACACTGCCATTGTGGAAAAAAGGGGTGTGCCGCATTGCAAACCTTATTGATATTTGCTTTTGATTTACCATCTAAAAATGAGGACATGTTTAATTGATTTGTTTCGCAATCTTGCTTTTGATTTTGGTCGCCTAGAACCACTTGTTTCTTATTGAAAAAAAGGGCATATCAATAGAACAAGAAACCTATTGATTTAAATCAATAGCCGATGCCAAGGGTTGTTTTTTTTGCGCGGCCCGGCTTGGATTGGAACAGTTTCTCGCGGGCCGAACGGGAGGAAAACTGAGTTGCCCGCTGTCACTGTAAGGGCTTGCTCTCAAACTTTGCCTGAACTGCCGGAATAGCTCCACGTCCGAGCATCAACCTGTCTCACCAACTCCCCCTGCTCCCGCAGGATTGCCCGAGCACCCGGTTGCAGCCTGGCTGCGCCAGCAGCGCGAAAAAAAACAACTTACTGACGGTCAGTGGGTTGTTTTTTTTGCGCAGCCCGGCTTGGATTGGAACAGTTTCCGCGGGCCGAACGGGAGGAAAACTGAGTTGCCCACTGTAAGGGCTTGCTCTCCCGGCGCCTTGCCGCCTTGCCCTGGGCCTGCCCTGCCGTTCCCCAACGCCCCACCAGCCTGATTGCCAGAACTTTTGGCACGCTTAGCAGGCCACTGCAGCTGAGGCCCCTTTGCTGCACGCGTCAAGGCAACAAACCCGCATTATTGGCCGCTTCTGGTTCTGATTTTTGCTTCCGCAGTGCTCGCAACACACGAAACACCGCTGAAATTTGGCAAGCAAAAAAAGTGACCCATGAGCGGTCAGTGACTTGTTTTTTTGCGCTTTTGAGCTTTGACTGCAGAGATGCTTCCCAAGGCCACGTGCGCGGAACAACATGCTCAGCATCAGTCAGTGGCACGGTTCGTTTGTTTGTTTTTGTGTTTGTGAGTTTGTTTGTTTGTTTGTTTGTTTGTTTGTTTGTTTGTTTGTTTGTTTGTTTGTTTGTTTGTTTGTTTGTTTGTTTGTTTGTTTGTTTGTGTGTTTGTGTGTGTGGTTGTGTCTGTGTGTGTGTGTGGTGTGGGATGGCGATGTCAGATGGATGGCGATGCCAGAGATGTGGAAGTTGGCGAAGTGTGGGCGAAAGCAGACTGAGCTACCTAGAGCCTTATCTTACTTTTCTGCATTAACCGTGCAAACCGGCAGGTTTTGGAAGGTTATGAGTAACCGCCACTAACCGGAGAAAGGTTTACCTAACCGTGGCCACCCTGTGTTTGTGACCTCAACCACCCATATGTCATGGCCTACCTCATTTTGGGGACGTTCCTACCTAATTTTGCAACTATGTTACAAACATGCTTCCGCCTGTCCGTTGCTTCTGTAAATAAAGGCAGTCGCTGAAATGAGATACATGGGTCCTTGCACACCAATGCAACACTATGGCAAGACTTTCGAGACTTGAAATGCCCAAAAAAGCTTGGCTGGGTCCAGGCTTGCTCAGCAGATTAAAACAGTAAGGGTGCGGATTTATTTTGGGATTTTTTTTCGTTTTGTTTTGGGATTTTTTTTCGTTTTTCGTCCGGGCCAGCAAAATGTCGTATTTTACAGCATGTTCTCGCGAAATTGACGCATTTTACACTAGCTCGTCAACATCCCCAGCATCGTTTTCAACATCCCCCGCATGTCCGACCAACATCCCTAGCATCACCAACAAATCGTGGGTAACAAAATCCAAAAATGTAGCTGGCGGGTTGACGGGGTCAAAACAATGATGCTTCAAACAGGAGGGCATTTCAATCCCAGCAAAAAAAATACAAAAAAAACATTAAGAAAAACAGAGCGGGGTAGTGATGATTCGAACAGGGGTGCAATTAAATCTCTGCAAAAAGTCTAAAAAGTAGCGGGGGGGTTGGAAGAATTGATGATTCAACTAGGGGTGCAATTAATTAAATCTCTGTAGAAAATCTAAAACGTAGCGGGGGGGTTGGGGGGGGGTGCAACTAATTAAATCTCTGCAGAAAATCTAAAACGTAGCGGGGGGGTTGGGGGGGGCGGCAGCCCCCCCCATGATGTCGGAAAAACGCCACCTGCCGAAGAGGAACTGGGAATGCAGAGGATGCGAAAAGCCAAAAAGCCACCAAAAGCCGCATAAACCAGCAAAAAGCCGAAAAGCCTAGAAGCCCAGAAGCCGAGAAGCCAAGAAGCCGAAAAGCCAAGAAGCCAAGAAGCCAAGAAGCCAAGAAGCCCAGAAGCCGAGAAGCCGAGAAGAAGCCGAAGCCAAGAAGCCAAGAAGCCAAGAAGCCAAGAAGCCAAGAAGCCAAGAAGCCAAGAAGCCAAGAAGCCAAGAAGCCAAGAAGCCAAGAAGCCAAAAGAAAAAAAATCCCAAAAAAAAACGGAAAAAAAACCTAAAATAAATACCCCTCCAAACAGTAATGTCCTGACTGAAGAAAAATATCGCCCGGGGGGGGGGGGGAGGAACCTGTGATTGGCATCAACATTGCAGGTAACACACGAAATCGGCAAAATGTTCAACGCCAGAAACTCCAAAGTGATCCTGCAACAACGCAGTGGCTACCGGCCGTCTTCCGCAATCAGATAAGTAATACAATCAGCATGTTGCAACGTAGCTTAGTCAGGGTGGATCCTGCTTGCTTAGACCTGGTTCACCCGCCATTGCTTGAACATCTTCATTTCAGAGTTCCCTTTCAAGGGGTTGCTTATGCTGGTTTACATTTGCCGACCAACCTCTCTAAAGCAACCGCCTCCCGCTTGCGTGTTGCGTAGGCAGCCAGGGGCGCAACATGCGCAGCTAACGCCAAAGCACGGCACATGGCGCATAGCTTGGCTCCCAGAGTGTCAAATGGTCCCTTGATGTACTTGGGTCAAAAGAGGTCCAAGTACAAAATGCACTTGGACACTCGGAGATTGTTCATTTGGGCATGATTGAAGTATGATGTTCATTGGTTGGGCATGAATCATCTTGCAGGTGTTAAATCAAACATGATCGCCACTTCTTTGGGGACAGAAGTGAGGTCGATGCTGTACGGAAACAATGAGAGCATGACAATTGCCTTCTCATGGAAGTTCGTCATTTTGTGTCAACCCTAAAGATGTGATATCGCACTTCTGCTTGATGTATGCATGAGTGGGAATGGGAATGAAAGCACACGTATCACTCTCTTTTCTCAACCTGGTTTGCCGCTTGGTGGTGAATGTAGTGCCAAGCTCCCACAAGGTGCCTCAGAAAACAACAAATGCATCTTGAAGATAGCGCCGCCTCGTCGCGGGATAAAGGCATATGCAAGTCAGAAACAAGAATCCGGAAAACAACCTACCGGAATGTATCTTGAGCAGGTTCATTGAGTTTGTCCAGCAAACATAGCTCTAGTTGCGGAGCCTTGCTTCTTTTGTAGCTGCGGCAATAAGCACATATTATAAATTGGCTGTAGCCAGAAAGGGTTCTGCGTGCTTCTCAGCGGGGTACAGTGCCGATGCCAATCAAAATGCGCCTGCACTGGCCACTCTGGCACGATCGCGAAGACATTGAAACGACCCGGTTCCATCCGCAAGTGCTAAGTTCAGCTCAGCAACTGAATTGGAAAACTCAGCCAAAGACCAATGGCATGCAATCTGCAACGTTTAATATAATTCTAAACCTTGCATAAGGGACTCCCAAATTCAGGACCAAGCTGCACCATGGTGAGCTGGTTTTTACCACCGGATCGGTGAGCTCTATATATATATATATACACATTGCAAAACACATGCCAGCATTCAGGTCAGGATTGCCACGGGATTGATCGTTTGGCAAACCCTAGTCAGTAAAAAGGGTCGTGCTGATGATTAATTTCAAGCTCCTGCAAGCATTTGCCACGGGCATTGCTGAACTCTTCGACATGCCCAAAACCAGTACACTCCAACATATGACTGTGGCTTTCAAAAAAACATGACAAGAACTGCGGTATGCTGGGTAATTGACTTTGAGCCACAGTTCGACATGCTTGAGGCATTGGTGTCTGTGAGTTCTGCCGAATCAATGGAGCCAAAGAGCTTGTAGGTTCTAAGCTCATGGAAGGGACTCTTGACTCTTAACCATTGAAGTAAAACGGCTTGGCCAAGCCGCTTCTATCAGGCCCAAGCTTCCCAACAGAGGGTTCATGGATGTCCCGTTTAACCATCATCGGCCCAAAGTCCGTGACAACCAAAAACAAAGACACGTCGCAAATCATCATGAACACCACAGCCGAAATCATAAGAGCGGGCCCTTCCACCCCTCATTCAAACATGGCATTCCAGGGCGAACTCCAAGGCGATTCTTCTACACGGACCAGGGCTCCCAGCCTGTGAGGTCTGCTTCACAGAATCTCTGGCCTTCTCCCTCTCAGCTCCTAACTTTATCGACTCAAAGCGCATCAGAGTTGGCCGATATAAGGGGCAGGGCAAGGGACGATAAGGGCATCACAAAAACATCACAAGGGAACTTTTGTTGGTGGCACCTCGTCTTTTACCCCGCCCATTGCTTTGTGTTACCCCCTTTTCTTGGTGTCAAGTGGGAAGAACGAGTTGAGCAATGCATGTCTTCAAGTCTCGACTGATCTTCAAAGGACTCGTGAGCCCCTCAATTAGACAGCCAGGCTCCTCTCCTTCCAGTCAAGCTGGTTCTTTCCCACATGGGGGGGATCGCTGATGTGCAATCCGCATGGTGGGACACCAGTACAATCAATCACTACAACAAGTGAAACCGCTGCCATCTGGCAAAAGCATTGCGGATTGATCTTAAACCTCCCAGTCAATACTCTTGCTTGCGATTGGCACTTGACCATCTCTCATGCACCCGGCACAGAACAACCAACATGATGTAGTCAAACACACGTCAAAGCACAGGTGAACGGTGCGCCTTAACAACAGGCCGTATCGTTTTAAGCTCAAGAACATTTCACTGTGCATGTCAAATTGCAGTATCAGCGGACCCCGAGCTGTTGATGCTTGTCTTCGAGTTCCAAGCCAGTGTTTCGGACTGAGGCTTGCCTGACTTCGCGCTCGCCAGGGGAGACAAGCGCTTCATGATTGAAGCAAGCCTCGAATCCCAGACGTTGCTTGCATCCAATGAATAGTATTAGCATGATCAGGCGAGGGGAGGCAGTCGACTGCACCTTTTTGTGAGAAGCAAGTAAGCGCCCTCTTGATAGAGAGACTGGTTGACCATACCCCATTCTGAAGCTCCTAAACCGAAGTGGTTGGAAATGTGAAGTCGCAGTCCTTGCCGCAAAGATTTCCGCTGCCTCAGCGGGCTCAGTATGGGTCTGAAGCTTCATTGGGTAGCCTTTGGTTCACAGACATCATTTGTGTGGGGACTTATGACCAATCATGTTTGAGTGCACTCCCCCTCTAAAAACTTGCTCACACATGGAGCCCTGAAACAGAAAAGGTACGCACCTCACAATGTCCAGAGCTCATGAAAGATCTCGGAGGGGACTCCCAAGCCACTTTAGTTGCAGACTGCAAGCCCATTGGGGAGAAACGTTCATAAGGCACGTTCTGTCTATTCAAAACACGCTGACTTGCATCTTGGCGTCTCTAGGGAAAGCCAAGAACAACCTCTAGCTGTAAGTGTTCGATTTCAAGAACATGTCAAGCCCCTGGAAGTCAACTAGTTCTAATCATCAGAGTCGTGTCCTGTTCTTTGCTGCGGGATGGTGACAAGCTAGTTTGGTTCTGAATGCAAGAGCTTGTAATTATTGGCCTGTTGCCTTCCTGTCGCCATAATTTGTTGAACTGCTGTGAGCCTGGCGTCCAAAATCCGCGCTCCCGAAATGGGTCATGATTCACTCAGCACCAACCATCCGAGCGACTGACCCCTGCCTCTCAACAGTAAACCTAACACATCCAACAAGTATAAATTTATGGCAGGAATATTCTTGATCAATACTCGTAATATCATCCCTTCTAGTCACGGGAAACCCAGGCCCATGTAGAATGAGGCATGCTTTACTGGGGACATTCCCTCAGTTTCCATGTGGGAGGAAGGGCACCTTCACACCAACATGATACCTGCAGGAACGAGACATCCAGAAAATTGGAATGGTAATTCACAGGGGTTACCCATTCAGGTTTTGAGACCCCCCCAAAAAAACACACACAAAAAACAAATGTGACCACTTCCAGGAAAGTCCTAGACAGACTGGTTTGCTTCTCGTTGTTTGCTTGTTTTTTTGAGGGCACCCTTTTTGGGGTTGGTGCAAAGGAACACCAAGAGGCAAACCGAAGGGTTTCCCCATGTTGTGAAGAATCATTTTTAGGGACCATGTGTTGGCGGGAGGGTCGCGCTTCCTTCACTTGCGCTAAGCGCGCAACTGTTGGAACTGGAAGGTTGGGAAGTAGCCCTGGCTGGAAGACGCTCGAAGATTTCTGTTGGATCAGGCAGTGACTCGAGTGCAAGCAAAGACCCGTGGTTGATTTCTTGGAAACGGATCGATACGCTCTTCCCTTAAGTCAACCAGGAGGCCTGTCATGCATTAGTGCTGAGTTCAGTCCTGTTGCAGGTGAGTGGGTCAAGCTGCACCAACATATTATGCTCCGCAGACCTCTTCCAGTACACAAGCATAGGCTCTTGGCAAATCCCTCAAACCCTACTTAGATGTCTGGCCGTCCAGTTGTAATGACGGTGTTTGGGCATGTGTAGCTGCGTTTGGGTATGTCCCTTTAGCAAGTAGGACCTGACAAAATACCATCATGGCACGTGCCATGCCTCATAGAGGATCTGCAAAGAAGGCCTCGCAAATCCGCACATCGCTTTACGTAACATCCTGCTGTCCACAGCCACAGCGAACAAGAGAACAGTCAAGCGTAACCGCAGGAAACAATCACAGGCTCCCATAATGGGTGTTATTATTTTTAATTCTACCTTCTTCTTCTTTCTTTTTTTTTGGGGGGGGGGGGGTGAAAAACACGATCCATTCGCTTTTGGCTTTTGTTCTTTGCTTGGGCAAGTCATAAGCTCTGCTATTATGCACTTGTAGAACTTTTAGAGCCAATATCCTGGGAAAGCCTTCCTGGCGTTGTTGCTGTAAAAAAGGTGACTACTGTCTCACAGTATAGGCGGCGAAAATGGGAAACCACAAGGATGTTGTTCTTGTCCAAACACATGAGGTATAGGTCATCAACAGCTGGCCGAGTGGTAAGCTCCCCAAAAAACAAACATAGTACCTGAAAGAAGGCCTCGAGCCTCTGTTTGTCGGAATTGGTCCTCGCAGAACCCCATATTTGGTGTTCCGGAGGGTGCCCTCGCAGCCCCGGCATCCACATTCATTTTCGAGTTTCGCCGCAGGCGCCCGAAACATGGGCGGCACCATGGGGCCTTGGACCCCATTTGGGGTGTGGCCAAGCTACGATGGAAGCTATCGACCGAGACGAGTTTCGCCATCTGACTGCAGAAACGCATTCTCAGCTCACTTGTGGTTTTCCATGTTTCCCAACAACCCTTACTTGGATAACAACGGATAAGAAGACATTGCTACGGCCGAAATGACCCTCCAATGGCAAATTAAAGTTCAATCCGAGGGTGGAAACTCGCCTCTTCCAGTATATAGACAAAGGACCTTTTTGGGTCGTATTTGGTCCATTCCGAAAACTTCTACGTGCTCATCGCGCAGCGCATTCAAGGCAATGTGCCGGCATGGGTTAAGGCACTTAGTCAAACAAACGACAGACTACCCAAGTATGGATAACCAGTCTAAGCGAGACATTGCAAGTTAACCGACCGCACATTGCACACATTCTCTGTTCACCCTACTTGCACGTGTCAACCCTGGTATGCAGAAATGGATGGCACTTGCCCCTGTGTAGGCAAAGATGTGCGACAATTCCTAACGCCAGTGCTGCTCTCCTGCCGCGTATCTGACGAGGAGAGTGTGGAGGGGGAAATGAAATTGCGAAGAAGAACAACCCTGTGCGCGCTTTAGGGTCTCCGGATAGCTGAAGGCTGAGTACGACGGACGACGGGCTCGGGACGGGGCTCGGCACTGGCTCGGAACGGTTTTGGGCCCAGGACAATTTGCACGGACGCGCGCGGCACAGGACTTCAGCAACCTGAGGTACAGATTGCGTGGCAGACGTAGCACTTTGTTGGATTGGTGATCAGATTTCGTGACGGGCGCAACACTTTGGCAGCCGGCGCATCCCTGTAACAATGCTGGCACGGACTGTCACATGCAGATTTCGCAAGGTCAGGGGAAGATTTCGTGGCAGGCGCAGCACTTCGCAGCGTCAGACGCAGGTGCAGATATCCAGGCACAGCACTTAGGTACAGGTTTCGTGAAAGGCGCAGCACGCTCGCAAGGTCAAGTACGGATGTTGTGGCAGGCGCAGCATGTTTGCGAGGTGTACAGACTTCGTGCCAGGCGCAGCCCTTGTGCGCGGTCAAGAAGGATTGAGGCAGGCGCAGCAGATAGATAGGTAGATAGATCGACAAAGAAACAAACAGACAGACAGACAGACAAGATAAGATAAGATAAGATAGATGAACAGACAAAGAGACAGATACGGATGAAGAGACAGATACGGATATAAATAGCTCAAGTTCTATGTTGAAACTTCCGCCAACCGGCTTGGCCGGCTCTACAGGTAATGGTTCAGACAAAAGAAACGAGCATCGACACAAAGGATAAGTGCTGAACTTCTGTCATGTTGTTCAAGCATTCGTCATGATGAGGTTGGCCCATGTCTTGCAAAGCAATGGTCAAGCTCTTGTGGATAAATATTAAATTTGATCCAATCCAACAAGATATCCAGAATATCTAGATACCGTGTGGACATTATTTGGCGGGACTGGCCCCTTAGCTCTGCGGCTTTGTCGTTAACCCGTGCAACACAGTTTTTCCCTTTGGTTTTCCTTTGGAACAATCAAAACAAGCCCTTCGGCTTCCCTGTGAAACAGCCCTACAAAGATGAGACCCCCCCCCCATGACTCTACAGTACTAGGCCTGGCTGCCCTTCCATTTGAGACATTGTCAACATGCCTTGTTGCCTCTGGTTTTGCGGGAAAACTTACTGAACCCCCCCCATGTCCCTTCCTGAAAATCAACTACTAGTATTTTTCACCGAACCTCAGTTGCCTTGGCGCTGCAAGAGCGGTTCATTTACCTGCTCATCCTGCCCACGTCTTTCAGGCAGAGACGAGCAAAGCCAAAAGACAACCTGCGAGCCTGTCCGGGTTATGACTAAAATGGACTGAACATGACTGATTTGTCTTCGATCAAGAATAGAGCGGACGAAAAGTGGACAACCAAACGTTGAACAGGTTGGCTCTGGGCAACGAACACAGCCAATTTGATGTGGAAGCTGCTAACGCGGCATGTTGATGGTTTGCTGCTTGTGCCAATTTTGTCCAGGAAACAACGAAAGGGAGGTGACTCGACAGCCAAAACAGGCGCGGTAGAAGCTCAAACAGCCCCTGGTCGCGATTCCCAAGAGCACCACCACGGCATCACCTCTCAGCGGTCCCAAAAGAAACTGTGCAAAGGAACATGTATGGGGAAAGGCCCGTTATTGGGGGTATCCCCCTTTCCATACATTCCCTAGGGTGGGGATAGTATCTTCATGTATCTTCTACCGTTTGCACCTCTGTTGCTGGATCTGAATCTGAATCTCACACTGGATCAAACACTCGCGAGTATGTACGTAGACGCAAGCTGAAACTACATGAACAGAATGTAAGGCAAACATACGAGTTTGACCGTATACTGAGAACATGATCAATCAACAAGTCTGCCAACACAATGGTCTTCAATTTGTGCTCATCGTGCAACAACGGGGGCGCTTTTTCAATAGGTTGTTGCCAAGTTGCCGTCCAAGAAGCTCAATCGGTCCTCATGACGGACACACGGGTGTACTTCCGGTTGGTCATCTCCTCCGGCTCCATCGAAAGAAAACAGTGGAAACGCCCAAAAGGGGAGCCATTATTCAAGTACCGTGCCACTCTAGCTGGTACGAGAGATGCACGCGTCTGTTCCCCGGGTCGCGTGTCCCTTCGGTTCGCCAGCTGCCGCGCAAGGTTGGCAATCTTCTGCGCGGACAGCACACTCCTGAGCACATTCGCTTGTACTTCAAGAAACGTGCTGTCTGAAATCTCGGCACTCTGGGTTGTTCTTGTGCCACCTGTGGTTGGGAAATCTCCCATTGCAGTCATGAGCTCATGCCACAATGGAGCATGGTCGAACTACTTACTACATTTCAAAAAGTGGAAATGGTGAATTCCCCAGTAAGGGACCTTCATCACGGATGAATCGGTGAGCTCGTTCATTAAAAAAAAATGCAAATTTGTATCTCCTCCACGTCCCCGTTGGCCAACGACCGATCCAAGCTTTCCTCAAGAAGGGCCCTAAATGACCAAGATATCCGAGGCATCCGAACCAAGGGTCCCAAGTTGAATCGCCAGAAAACACCAACATGAAGTCAACCATCTGGAGGAGTTCCTAGATGTCACCTGTGCCTACGTTGAAAGGGGCAGACAACTCGACAAGAGAAAACACATCAACATGACCCAGTTCAGTCACAATCTGTATAATGTATATCCGCCGACCCCCCTGCCTGCAAGGGGAAGGCGCTGGGGGAGTGTTCGTTTAGCGTTGGAGCGTGACTGTGGCAGCCTTCTCCCTTCCCTTTCGCCCCCGTTCAGCCCTGTACCTTACCAGCCTTCTTTCTTTCACTTTTTTCTTGTTCTTCTTCGTTTCTTTTCTTTCCTTTTCCTTTCTGGTGCCGGCGCACTCCTTTGGTTGGTGCTCGCTGTAGACAAACGAGTGCGGCCTGGAAAAGCGCGGGAAGCGAAGCTTTTGTGGCTGGCCGCTCCCTCTGGACCGATAGCCTTGCTGCATATTGGACTCAAACGCGACGTTAGGCACCCGGCCGCGGCGGAGCAGGCTGCCGGCGCACCTTTGGTTCGTGCTCGCTGCGGCGAAGCGAGTGCGGCCTCCAAGCGCGCTGGACGCGAAGCTGTTCTTGCTGGTCGCGCCCTGGGGACCGATAGCTTTCTACTTTCTATATAGGATTCAAAAGTGACGTTCGGCACCCGGCCGCGGCGCACCAGCCGGTCTTGGCAAGACGCACAGCAAACCCAAAGGGATGAAAGACCAGGGAGAGGCAAACTGTGACAGACGCAGGCGCACATGGGCATGGACAGGCCGGGGATTGAACCCGGCCCCTCTCGCATGCTGAGCGGGTGTGATGCCACTACACCAACTGCCCCTGAGCTGAGCAGGCCGAGAGTGCTCAACTACCTGCTGCGCACAGCTTTCAGCGCTGAAGCTCTGTCACGGCCAGCCCGTTCGCAGCCTGCTCCGCCGCGGCCGGGTGCCTAACGTCGCGTTTGAGTCCAATATGCAGCAAGGCTATCGGTCCAGAGGGAGCGGCCAGCCACAAAAGCTTCGCTTCCCGCGCTTTTCCAGGCCGCACTCGTTTGTCCACAGCGAGCACCAGGTTTGCGCCCTGGGGACCGATAGCTTTCTACTTTCTATACTTTCTATACTTTCTACTATTTCTATATAGGATTCAAAAGTGACGTTCGGCACCCGGCCGCGGCGCAGCAGCCGCCCTTGGCAAGACGCACAGCAAACCCAAAGCGAGAAAGACCAACGCAGGCGCACATGGGCATGGACAGGCTGGGGATTGAACCCGGCCCCTCTCGCATGCTGAGCGGGTGTGATGCCACTACACCAACTGGTCCTGAGCCGAGGCCGAGAGTGCTCAAGTACCTGCTGGGCACAGCTTTCCGCGCTGAAGCTCTGTCACGGCCAGCCCGTTCGGCCTCTTTTCTTCCTTTCTGCTGCCGGCGCACTCCTTTTGGTTGGTGCTCGCTGTGGGCAAACAAGTGCGGGCTTGCCCGTTCGGCCTCTTTTCTTCCTTTCTGCTGCCGGCGCACTCCTTTTGGTTGGTGCTCGCTGTGGACAAACGAGTGCGGCCTGGACCAGCGCGGGAAGCGAAGCTTTTGTGGCTGGCCGCTCCCTCTGGACCGATAGCCTTGCTGCATATTGAGCAGGCTGCCGGCGCACTCCTTTGGTTCGTGCCAGGGATAGGCAAACGGTGCCAGACGCAGGCGCACATGGGCATGGACAGGCCGGGGATTGAACCCGGCCCCTCTCGCGTGCTGAGCGGGTGTGATGCCACTACACCAACTGCCCCTGAGCTGAGCAGGCCGAGAGTGCTCAACTACCTGCTGGGCACAGCTTTCAGCGCTGAAGCTCTGTCACGGCCAGCCCGTTCGCAGCCTGCTCCGCCGCGGCCGGGTGCCTAACGTCGCGTTTGAGTCCAATATGCAGCAAGGCTATCGGTCCAGAGGGAGCGGCCAGCCACAAAAGCGTCGCTTCCCGCGCTTTTCCAGGCCGCACTCGTTTCACCAACCAAAGGAGTGCGCCGGCAGCAGAAAGGAAAAGGAAAGAAACCAAAGGAGTGCGCCGGCAGCAGAAAGGAAGAAAAGAGGCCGAACGGGCGGGCCCGCACTCGTTTGCCCACAGCGAGAACCAACCAAAGGAGTGCGCCGGCAGCAGAAAGGAAGCAAAAAGGCCGGACGAGCGGGCCGTGACAGAGCTTCAGCGCTGAAAACTGTGCCCTGCAGGTGCTTGAGCGCTTTTCCAGGCCGCACTCGTTTGCCCACAGCGAGCACCAACCAAAGGAGCGCGCCGGCAGCAGATAGGAAGAAAAGAGGCCGCTGGACGCGAAGCTGTTCTTGCTGGTTTGCGCCCTGGGGACCGATAGCTTTCTACTTTCTATACTTTCTATACTTTCTACTAATACTATTTCTAACTAATACTATTTCTATATATAGGATTCAAAAGTGACGTTCGGCACCCGGCCGCGGCGCAGCAGCCGCCCTTGGCAAGACGCACAGCAAACCCTAAGCGAGAAAGACCAACGCAGGCGCACATGGGCATGGACAGGCCGGGGATTGAACCCGGCCCCTCTCGCGTGCTGAGCGGGTGTGATGCCACTACACCAACTGCCCCTGAGCTGAGGAGGCCGAGCGTGCTCAACTACCTGCTCGGCACAGCTTTTCGCGCTGAAGACCCACCCGCTCGGCCTTTTTTCTTCCTATCGGCTGCCGGCGCACTCCTTTGGTTGGCGCTCGCTGTGGGCAAACGAGTGCGGCCTGGAAAAGCGCTCCAGCACCTGCAGGGCACAGTTTTCAGCGCTGAAGCTTTGTCACGGCCCGCCCGTTCGGCCTCTTTTCTTCCTTTCTGCTGCCGGCGCACTCCTTTTGGTTGGTGCTCGCTGTGGACAAACGAGTGCGGCCTGGAAAAGCGCGGGAAGCGAAGCTTTTGTGGCTGGCCGCTCCCTCTGGACCGATAGCTTTGCTGCATATTGGACTCAAATGCGACGTTAGGCACTCGGCCGCGGCGGAGCAGGCTGCCGGCGCACTCCTTTGGTTCGTGCTCGCTGCAGCGAAGCGAGTGCGGCCTCCAAGCGCGCTGGACGCGAAGCTATTCTTGCTGGTTGCGCCCTGGGGACCGATAGCTGTCTACTTTCTATATAGCACTCCTTTGGTTGGTGCTCGCTGTGGGCAAACGAGTGCGGCCTGGAAAAGCGCTGAAAACAAGCAAACAAGCAAGCAAGCGAGCAAGCAAGCAAGCCAGCAAGCCTGAACCAGCCAAAAGCCGCTGACAGAACAAAAAAAACCTGGGCTGGCCCCCCAGCGGAGGGGTCGGCGGCACTGGGCGGCAGCCCTTAAATTGAAACGGACTTCCCAAAAGCGTGTAAAGACTGAACAAAGCCGCCCCGATGTCTGGTTGAGACCCTGCCTCACTAAACGTCACTTACCCGCGTGTTGATTGTGGCTCAAGTGGGGCTCACATTCACCAAGGAGGAGCAAAGACAGTCAGCAAGCAACCCGCCCTCCCGCGCACAAAGTATGGCATGCTCATGGTGACGACAATTTGATGAGCATAATCCTCATAGCAAAACATGTGGAAAATACGTGAAGCCCCGCTAAAAAATGATGGTAGCAATTTGCAAGCCAATATCGGCTGAATCCCACGGGTCGCGGTCCCAATGTTTCACTTTCGCTGCTGAACTCAGAAACAAACCGGGTAAACCAAATCAAAAACAGAGCGAGAGGCCCTCAAGCGGCACCATCTCCCGCCCCCTGCCGAAGGCGCCGGTTGTTGGTCACCGTGGGCTTGGCCACCTGCGGCTTTGCCAGACCCGGCGTGAAGTTCCGCGCCTCCCCGTGGAGCACCGAGAAGTCGCCTGGAAGAAACGGGTGCTTCTCTAAATCGCGGGGTTCTTCATGGGCTCCTTTAACAGGGTTAGACAATGTGCTCAAAAAATGATTCCATTCACTGGCTTCCTGGATCAGACATGGAACTGGCCACAAGGGATGCCGCCCACGACATGCTCATGGCACACCATGGTGGTTTTCATGGTCCCAGTCCTACGGAAAGCTTGACACAATGCTAGCTTCGAACCTCTTCGCCCATCTGGGCCCTCTTGGACATGGGAGGTTTAGGAGCCCTGACCCGAATGATTCGATGCGCTTTTGGGGCAGTCATCATGTCTGCAGTGGACAACTCCCAATGTCAAAGCAAGAGGCGGCATTCTGCGGAATGTTTCAACAAGGGGTTGGCGCAACCACGAAACCTGCACCTGTTTTTTTTGTTTGGGGAAATCATCCACCAGGTTGATTGTTGTAATCCGGTTCGCCCCCTCCCACAAGCATGGCACCCCATGATGTCCCTTTCAGTCAGTTTGCGTGTTAGTGGAAGGGTAAAATTTGGGACGTCGGTTTGGCTGGAGGGAGCTGAACAAACCATTTGAGGGGCCCACAAATAGAAAGTTCGGCCCCGGAACAGTCCAAATGGAATACGCATTGCAATTTGGCCTCGATAGTCCAGCACACACATATGCAACAAAAAGGGTGGGGTAGCCTTGCGACCCCGAAAAACCCATCCGCTCCATCCCATCCCAAACATCCGTGATATCCATCCCGCGCCTTGATGCACCCAGAAATCTACCAGACCTTCCCCTTGCGCGGTGTAGCGGAGGTGCTCGAACTCCCAGGCGGGGACCCACGCGTACAAAGTGATCTCCGAAGACCCCAGGTCCTTCGAAGTCGATTTGGCTCAGTGGGGAATTGAGCCAGTCCGGGTGTTGGGGTCGTGAAACGTTTGCAGATCCCGTAAGGAAACCACAGGTGGTTATGGTTACTTTCCAGCGCGTTCCCTGTACTCAACGCATACAAAAAGTCTATCCTGGTTGGGGGGGGAAAGGCCAAAAAAGACGACCCTGAGATGGGTAGGGCGCCTTTGACTAAGCCATCCTTGTTGGTGACCATAACCCTCCCACCAACATGGAAATTCACCAAAGCGTCCCGTTTGGAGAAGAATGGTCCAAACCAGAAACCCCCAGTCATACTCCATGTGAGTTAAAATCAAAACTTGGTATTCTCGCAGTCTACTCCATGTAAAGAATGAAAAGGGCGGATATCCGCACCACAAACATGTTGTTGGCGCTTTCCCTTGCTAAGCTTCACCTGGCCGCACTCTTTTACCACCTTCAAAGTCACCCGCGACGTGGTAGGGAAACAAGCCCAGATTCTAACTGTTCAAACCCCCAGAAGAAGTGAAAATCATGACCCCAGTTCACTCACCTGGGTTTTCACCGCTCAGTTGGGGTCAACCGTTTGGGCGACCGACTCCCGGATGGCCTGCTTGAAGGCGAAGATGTCGGGCGGCATGGGCGCCACAGTGGCAGTGGCCTCGTGTGCGATCGGTGCTCGGGAGGTTTTGGCCGTGGCTGTGTCTCAGACGTTGGCTTCTTGGGTCGTTTTGGAGGGACACCAAAAAAGCCACACATTTTGGGGTTCCAGAAAGTCAAAATGCAAATAACCAAACAAAAACCGAGCAAAAAAGCTAAACATTGACCAGCAGCAAGGGTAATGGACGAACTTCCTCCAGAGGTCTTGAACCTCCTCCGATTGTTCCAGGGATCCTTCATCCAAAAACCACCAATGGTGAATCAATGAAATTGACCACTAGAATCAAGCAACCAAGCAACACAAGGAAAGGACGCATAAACGCGGCGCATAGCTTCCGGTTCTTGAGATTGGTGCAAATGACACAATCAACGAAACCTTCTTCATTCAATGTGTTCCTGCACAAACCGAGTCCGTCCTGCTTTTTACATGGAGTGTAAATGGCAACCTGCACAAAGCTGAAGCTCCTTTGAAACAGCTCGCTCCTCGACGACTCCCACAACTCCGACTGCGCGCCTTGCGGTACCTGCGTGCCAGACTGTTCTGCTTGGAGGTGAGCTTCGGGCTCAAACACCCCAGTCGAGAGGGCACGAACTTCCTGCGACCAAAAGTCAGTGTGGGGAGCGACGAGAGTATCGACTCTGGCGCTGAAAAAGTGACGTCTGTGAGGGTGGAAAACTTACTTAGCATTCTTGCCAAATGTTTTGGACATATGATGCTGCATAACTCAAGGTGGGTAGGTGTTCAGCTCGCCGGCCAGCCCGTGCTGACAGGAATTTTGAGCCCAAGCGTCCTCTCAGAAAGCTGGCAGCGGTAAATGACTAGAACCCAGCTAAAGCCAGTGCCCAGTACCTTCCAAGTGGTACCCCAAGCGCGCTCATTTGGAGATGTTTGGGTCAATTTGATTGCCTTCGAAAGTGCTGGGCCCTCCGTGTCCAACCACACTGACCTAACAAGGCCACTTCCGATTGTGAGGGTGTCGCCTTTGTATGGGATCTTAATGATGAGCAACATCAGAAAGCAAACCTCTGGCCCAAACCTTCACTTCCCGCAACGCACATGTCGCAAACAAGTCAAGCACGCTTCAGAAAGAAAGCTCAAGCTTCTATTCGACAAGCAGTCCTGGCATGCAGTAAAACAATCTAAGGTCACCTTCAACAACATGGCTGAGGCTCGAAAAGAGCCAACCCGAAAGCTCGAACTCCAACATGCATGGATATCTAACGCCACCAAAGCCGGATGTGGTTCACCAATGGGTTCTAGAAGAAAACTCCCACTTCAGGGGCAAAGTAAAAGGGTCGAGCCCTGTCGCTTGGTCCGAAGAAACGCCGAAGCCAGCAGTTGCATGCCGAGCTGCACATACTGCGCCCATGGCACTAAGGAGCTCATGTGACCCCGGAAGATGGTGCGGAGGTAGCGGGAGGGTTGCCCAGTCCTGAAGATTCAGTGTCATGGGTGTGCCCTATTTTCTGGGGTGGTGGTTCAGGACGACCAAAAGAAAAGCCACTGGCAGTTGTTTGGAGAAGTCCCCCTATTTAAGACAAACGCGCATCGTGTTCCATGAGACACTTGCATCGATGAACTGCATCGTGGTCAAACCCGCGGATCACTTCTTGGCTGGGGGCCTCTGTTTCTTGTTGAAGCAGGGGTCGCCCCTTGCCGGACACTCGGGACTGGCGGCCCCCAGGCCGGTCCTCTTAGAGATGTCCTCCTCTTCCTTGGCATCGAAGGAGGAGGTCTCAACTTCGATATACTCCGCAAGGGAGGCCAGCCTGAATCAAAGGCTGGGTACTTCTCGGCTGCTCAAAGTGGCTTGGAACCCGTGCCGTTGACTCTTGGCTGGTCGCGGGGAATGGGTTTCTGATTTTCTAGCTTTTGAACAGTCAAACAAGCCAGTTGACAGCATGAGTCTGAGTAGTTTCTTGTCTTCCCAGGGCTATATGGGTGCGCTGACTTTGCCTCGGAATCCTACTTAGTCATGATTGTAGGAGTGAACTACCGTCCATCCTGCACACATTGGTAGGTGGTTCATCCTAGGTTCATGGCGCTTCATCCGAAGTGGGCTTTGTCCATCCACAATATGAAAAACAACTGTCCCAAGAAGCATTCTCCTGGCCTCGTCTTACAAAGCCGCGCGGCCGCATCGTAGGGCGACTCTCCATGCTTGACCTGCCGCCGATAAAACCGCGCGCACGTCTGTCGGATTCTTCCGCAGTCCGTCGTCTTTCAGGTAAGATTCAAACCAAACTGACACCAGTAGTGACTGTGTGCCCTAGTTTCGACCAAACTGACCTTAAAAGGACACAACCAGGGAAGCTGTCGGGAGGGTTTGGAAGATTGCAGCGCTCTTAAACAGGACTTCAATGTTTGTTGGAAAGAAGGCACCTAACCAAGCACATATATTTGCCGACTGTTGCCAGGCGAGGCACGTTCATATACATCTTAGATTTCCCTTCAATATGAGGTCAAGCTCCTAGAATCTGCGCGTTCAGGATTTGAAGCACATCGGCTTGAATGGGCCGTGTCACTGCTAAAGGTTGGCGTGCGTTGGTTCCAATGGGTATTTCTTTGAACCTTTCTCACGAGATTCTGTGCCCCCCCCCCCCAGGCCCCTTAAAATCGCTTTGGTTGACATTCAAGGGAGGGCCAAGGGAAATCCCCTGGCTTAAGCACGGTTACAAGGTAAAAGCGCAAGGCACACCAGGGCCTTCTCCGGTTCAGACATGAACGGTCGCCCAAATCACGTTCTTTGACACCGCAGCACGGTGTTGGCTGACTTGCTGTATTCAAAGTAAGAACCCAAAGTGGCTTAAAGTGTCAGACTGTTACGTGGGCTACCTGCCCTCAAGCGTCTTTCAGCGCTCACTAACAAGTCAAAGCAATTGACCCTGTGAGAGCTCTAACCTTATCTGAAGAATTCATCTTTGCACTACCTGCAGATTCCACATGAATCTTCAGCGCTGCGCGTGCTGTGCTCGCAGCAATGTTCACTTCTCGGGCGCATCCAAGCTCAAAATATTCTGAATACACATCCCAAGACAATTAAATATTGCACAATTCATCAAGTTTCGCGTACTTTTGATATGGAATCTCCCGATTTAGGAATGTGGCCATCAATGATGACCGGCATCCAGAAAACATACATAAGCTTGTCTCCAACTCCAAAAAGAAAAGTAAACCCCTTCTGGGGATCGGTTTTCAAGGATGAGAAAAGGAAACCCACCGCGCCTTGACCCCCGGGTACTTGAGATCCGTAAAGGCCGTCCGCGTTGCCTGGCACCGGAGGGCACGAAATCACCCTGCGAAGGGCCAAATGACCCGCGAAGGGCAACGGATCCGGCTGCCGACGTGAACATGCAACACATCTCCCTTGCAATACCAGCTACGGGCCTCCCTTGGTCAATCTTGGTGTCAGTGCAATGAAACATGCTCGGCCACAAGATGGTGTCACTTGTGCCGTATGGCCGCCCAATGCCACTGAAAGCATAGAACATCTCAAAAGAAACAAGATCGGACTCGTCCAAATCTTGGATTGGCTGGTGATTCTCCACCGGAAAAGGGGGTGGCTGGGGCCTGTCTTGAATTGCGGCGCATTCCCAAATTACATGCCCAAGTATGTAAATGAGACACTTTCAAACCATTGGTCGTAGGGCCCCTCCGGCTATGCTCCGAAGCCCACAATCAACACATGTGCAATGATTCCAGTTCACTTTGCTGCAGCATTCGATGCAAATTGGTTTGCGTACTGTCACGGCGGCGGCGAGATGATGCGAGATATTCCATCAACTCACTTCCCGCTGTGCCATGGATTGCGTGAAGCTAAGTAAGGCCTGCAAAATGCACCGCGTGGCCAAGTCTCTTGCAATAAAACACGAAACTTTGACCCAAATCGAACCTTGGCAATGATGCGCTAAGCTCAGAACAGCTTACCGCACATGTCAAATTGCATTGACTGTGGGTTCTAGCAAATGGCTTTAGAGGTTCGATGGGTCCTGCAACCCCTATCAAACCAAGCAATGACCCTCTGATGAACTGGCCAACAGTCCAAACAAACAGCCAGGCTGCGGGGTCGTAAGAGCCCACCGCCACTAGGATGCACCTGCGCGTGTGCCACGAGTTAGTTGCGTCCCAAGCGTTCCTGGAACTGTTGACTGGCAACTGACTGCTGGCTTTCCCTGCAAATTTCCATGGAACCCCAAAGAGGTTCCTAAAAGTTTCCTCTAAAACTGATGGTTGTCGGGGTTCCATGTTCTCTGCAGAACTGCAATCGCTCACTACCACAAAACCCTGGTTGAAGTGTCAAGCAGACCAGAAACTGCCAGCCTGAAACAATCTACACTCCACAAATGTCTGTACATATGTCAGCTGCACGGCCAAAGTTAACGCAAACCAGTGGCATCCAACCCTTAGCCAAGATCAACTGAAATCTTCAAGTACATGCTGGGCGGGCAAATGAATTAAGTGACATCCAGATTCCTTGTGCTGGTACGTGACACGCCAGTAAAGGACGAGCATGGACCAAACAAAACGCATAAAATCAGAAATTGTTCGTGAGTCCTCACACTTGAGCTGTGCAATGGCACAAGCCGCAATTGCTCCAGGTAATCAGCATCTGAGAAAGCCATCGTAAAGGGCTGAAACGAGTTGGACAAAAATACAAGAACACACTCAACTTGCCCTGAAAGGTTCTCGGAGCATTTTTAGGGGTTCTTAGAAGGGGTCTGAGAACACCTTCTTGGAGTAGGGGCCCTAATACCCCCACAGTCAGTATGACACCATCCTGCCTGCTGGCACACTGAACACAAAGTGCTGCTAGTGGCACCACACGCTCTGTACTGACATTCTCCACCTCCTGCATCCTGACCTTCCCAGTGCAGGACTCTCACGGACCGTGCACGAATGGTGAATGGTCCAAGCTTGGTGAATTGATCAAACTAAGAATAATGATACTGCCATCAGCTTTGAAGCTAGGGTCCGACGCTGGTCCTAAGAGGAGGTTGGCCCTGTTTTCCCACATGGCACAGACCTCTTCTGGACCGTCCTTTTACTTCCATGTAATGTTTGTGGGATGATGTGCGATGGTATACTGAGTATACTGACATGGATGCTGCCTGGACGTACTTGTTCTTCAAGAGATCTGTCAGCTTCCATGTTGGTGGGAAGGAGGGTAGGGAGTTGAGGTCCGCTTTGGGTTTGGTCCAGAAGGACTGGCTTTCATTTGCACAGCTAGCCGCATTGGTTCTGGCCAAGTAGCGACCTCACAGGGGTGTGCGACTCCAGAGATTTCTGAATCAAAGGGGTTCCCTAGGTTGTTGTACTTAGCTATCGCTTGTCACCTGACATTGCCCTCAACCCCAACATTAGGTTTGACGGCTCCAAAAAATGCACATGAGCTCATAGGGTATCGTGTGGGTCCACCTCGCCGGGTCCATGTTTGGTTTGGAATAAGCGCCAGGGATCAACAACCGTCTGCATAGGCATACGAGCCCACGGCCAAGAGTCACACAATGACAGAAACATAGCCGCACCTCCATGTCCACGTTAAATGACTCCGAGTGGTACATAACCAGAAACCCTTTCCGAAAGAACTCAGCGCCACGTGTGTGACCAAGGCACTCTCTTCCTCAGCTGGGTGTTGCTTCCCCGCTGTGCTTTCCAGTGCTTTTCGAATCTGTTCTCCTTAGCACGCCAATGTCATTCAGGCGAGCACAACATCTAGACCACTTTTGGATGCTGTGAACGGCAACAAGAAAAGGCATCAGGGTCCAAACGGGGCCGCCCCTCCGCGCCTCTCGAAGATTGATTTCAGGAAACTGCGCAACATCACCAAACAATATATTCTCATACAGCGCTGACACTTGCTGAAAGCGAGATCTGTACCAAATCTGCGTGCCAAATGAGCATCCATCTTCTGGTGAGCCTTCTGCATCGCAATGGACAGCCATAATGAGAGGATCTTTCCTGAGTTCCCACCCATGCCATCCCGCGCACTGCATTGGATTTGTGCAGGCTCACTTTTATCAGAGCCTGCCTGTGAAGGCTCAATCCGTCTTATATCTCCTGTTTTCAATCCAAACAAACAACCACACGTAGCGCTCTCCTGGATTGATGTGTCAAGCTGCGGGAGAGGGAGGGGGAGGGATAACACAAAAACTATGCAAAAAGGTCCAGGAAGCCATTCAAAGCACAACTACGGGCATGCATTAAAAGAACTCCGTTGAAGTAAGTGGTAGTGTTGTACACAATGTATCAAACACCAGACCCGTTCCTTTAGTAACACTACAGTACATGATAGATAAAAAGGCTGGAACATGTTTAACAACGCAGCCCGACCAATGGGGCCAATCAAGGAAAGGAAAGCCAAGTGATCCCATGGCTTGCATTTTTGCGCACTGCATGGAGTTTTCCACGTGCCATCAAGAAGAAACCTGAAGAAGTTCAGAAACGAGGGTGCAGACCTGGGTTTGTCTTCAAGTGGGAAAGCCCAACATTGGCGTTCCTTTGGTCCCTTTGAAGCTTGCCAAGAAGGGGTACGCTCAAACAGGACATCCGAGATGTATTTGAGCAGCAGGAATCCTAAGAAATCCTGGTTGGTTGCTGTCAACAAAGGTAACCCCGGAGCAATCCTATCTGCAAACAAAGACATCATGATATGATGAGAGACAAGCTTCATCAAAAAGTTCTCCGTCACATCCTTCAACAGCACATTATCTAATATGCGAACATGCCTTCCAAAGATATTGCCTCCGAACCGTGTCAGCCGTTGCTCTGTGACAATGAGACTAAGGATTGAATTCACAAGGGCATGTTCAGGAGGTATGCAGGTTTGTCTGCCACCAATCTAAGCTTGTAAGGAAGGATCCACCCGTTGTAGAAGTGGTAGTTGAACTCCATGCCTCCCAAACCCACCGCCTGTACATACGTACATGCCCTTGAAAAGCTTCCCCGCGTCTGTCTGGCTTGAGTTGCGCCTTTCCGTAAGCTCCGAACCCGGCAGCTGCTTTTCTCAAGCACCGAGCTGTCTTTCAAGCATCCCTTTCACTTTCCTATTACCCTTGATTGCCCGCTGCGCAAATAGGCCAGGATCGTGTCAGGCTCTCTAATTCACGCCACGGAAGGTTGTGCCAAAGCTGCCGTCGTTCCGGAACTTGAGCGGCACAAACTCCATGGCTGCCACATTTTTGGCCACTGCCTGCAAACGTTCATTGAAGAAAGGCGGATTTGACAAACTGGAAAAAAGCTATGGTCCAATGAAACATCACGGATATCAGCCACCTCTCCAGTTCCTGGGGATAATTGGGATAATTGCACTGCCACACCCGCATACAATCCGGTTGGGGAGTGGGTTTGTAGTAAGGTCCCTGACCAATTCTTCCCGGCAAAGTCGGCTAGGTCGTTAAACAATGGCAGGATTCCTCCCGACTGACCCGCGGCTAACCCCAGGTGAAATACAGTTCTTGCCTTTCAAAGGACCCGTGTGAAAGTTTCACATCCCCCAACAAGTTTCCTCATCTAGGCCAGGGACACAGTTGCTGTGCCTTCACCGTGCCATGCCCCAACTGGGAAAAACATGGGGCCACATGTCCCTCACACCGACAAAGGACATGTATGGGGAAGGGTCCAGCAATTGTTCATAGACTTAGGTGTCTGTTTCAAACAAGCACAACAAACAAGCTCCTCCGCAATGTAGATGTGGTTGCTTAAACACAGAAACCATTGGTGCCAAAGTAGAATTAGGATACCAGACCTGTCGGTGCCCGACTAATCAAAGGGGACCAAATGCAAAACACCTTTCCCAAAGTTCTTCACTCCCCCCCAACATGAACAATCCCATGTTTCCCAGGAAACAATGAGATAGGGTCTCCCCAGAAATCCTCACCAGCCCTGCCCTTTTGCCCACCCCCCGGAAATGTGACGCTGGTTTCTCCAATCCGACCTTGTTAATCATTATTCGACTTCTACTACTTACAAAACCTAAAACCAGAAGCAAGTCTGTGCTCCCCAAACTGTAAATGAGTCATCTAACTAAGCCTTCTTTGAAAGAGCTTGGCCAACAATTTTCCAAGCGGGGAATTACAGCTGGGGCCCTCATACTCAACAATAGGAATTAAAAGAGGGGGCAAGGATTTTCCCCAGCAGAAAGTTTCCATACTAAAGCATAAGCACTAAGGCAGCACAAAGCAGTACTCAATACTAAGCCAATACGGAATCAACATGTTATGACATGCTACATGTAACAGGGATCCTTACATTATGCACCTGAACATTGTCTTGTATGGTGGTTTCCCTTTATTTTGGTGGAAAAAGCCATGATTCAAATGGGCAAAATGTATCTTTTAAGGAGCCCTGTGTAACCTACACAAATTCCAATCACAACTTGCAACCAAACAGTGCTTCAGTGATTCCGAAAATCCGGACAAGCACAACCAAAGTTTCAAACACAAATCTGATCAAAGAACAAGGACATCAATTCTGAATAAGAGTTCAATAGAAATACATGGGACATGTGGGGAGACCAAGCTGATTGCCCCGGAACTCCCTTTGCATGCGCTGGATTCGCAGATGCACCTCATGGCACACCATAGCATCCTCCCGCACGCTCCTGAGAGGCAGGTGTGTGTGTGTGTGCGTGCTGTCATAATAAAGCCAGAATTGCTGAGTCAAATTGGCGGATTACTTGGCGGGAGTCCCGCTAAACGAAAAAACACCTGAATAATGGCACACCCGCCAAGCAAGAACAGGTTTATTAGAGCGGAGTTACCATTACTGCGCGCAGCACCAAAAGCAAGTGGTGGTTGAGCGCAAGCATGCAACAACAAAACAAATAAATCCATCCGAAAGTACTACCGCATGGATTTGTTTGCATGGGGAACATGCCATGTTGGCAGCAAGACGTCTTACGTCTCGGTTGCTACAATGTCTCAGTTGAGCTTTTGGCCAGGTTCAAGCCACGCAGTGCACGTGGCACATCAGAGTATCTCGTCGCCATCAACGCCGAACCTGGAATGCCGAATCAGGACAAACTAATATTGCAATGCATGACAGCTGCAAAGTCACAGGTATGGCTCCTTGAAGATGTCGAACGGGCCCTTTGATAATCTGCCCCCTGCTTCTCTCTGCACGGCTTAAAAGAAGCACAAAGATTGGCTCTGAGTAACGCAGCTTCTTTACAAAGGCCAAACACTAGGCTCACACCAACACTTGCCTCCTACCGCCACAACATCAGACAAAAAATGTTGTTCTTTGTCTGAATGTGGTCAATGTCAATGTATATATTTGTATATGTGGACCCATAGTGTGACACACTGCGATATGATACACATGGATATGAGATATATGTCAAGACTGGAAAGTATAAAGACTCCAAGTTGTAAGCCAGCGAGATGCCGACCAGTTGGACTCCTTTGGCGGCCGCCGGGGCGGAGCAAGCTTAACAATTACAACAACCAGTGTTCAAGCGTTTGCTTGACTTTTTATTCAGCCCTTTTCGCCTTGTTTGTTGTATTTGCGGCTCTTTCGCGTTGAAATCGCCGGCGTTTTGCCGGTTGTTCCTTTCGCGGTAGACACTTCAGCACAACGCTGTACATAGTTTAGGACTTGCAATTTAGACCCCCTTCCCCCCAGATACCGTAATAGTTGTCTACCAAGAGTTGGGTGCTTCTCGAAGCCGTGGACCCCTCTTCCTTGGAAATTAGCAGGAAACCACAAGGAAACTAGCCATAACCTAACATTTTAGGGGGCCACTATTTTGAGAACCTCCCAGTTGACTGACTTCCCGGTTCGAACATCGACTAACATCCCCACCAGCTTGAAGTCAAGAGGTCTTTTGACCATGGCTCGTGTACGTGTAACGGTTTGCCTTCATTGTCCGGCTTCGCAGTGATCCGTCCATGCTGCACGTCCCATGTTATGCCAAGCGTCGGGCCAGCAAACTTCAAAGACTTCCAGCCTCAGTGGTACTTTGCAGTTGGTAAGGGGAAGTCTAAACGGAGGATAAAAATATATTCTTCCCTTTAAATAGAACAGGAACCCTAAGAAGCCCGTTTTCCCGGGGAACCTGCTTACCCACCCCCGTGATCCGCACCCCCTCACGATTCACAAGACACCTAAAGGAGACCGAGAGGAAACCAACAGGAAACAAACAGATCCAAGCGTCAAGATCTGTATATGCAGAAAGCCAGAACCTCTGATTCCGCGATGACATTGTTTTTGTAATTCTAAACGCTAGAATACGACCCTGTGCACCAAAAATGGTTGCCTGAGAGGCTGACAATTCCACAAACCTGGAAGCAAGTAGCATGCAGCTCAGCACAAAAACCATCTTCTCTGTGAACCTAGAAGCAGAATTGCTGCACACGGCAATCCAACCAATTGAACTGTCACGTCGCGTCAAACTCGAGGGGGGGGGGGACGCAGAGCCAAAGAGAGCCCTACGAGAACCTGTGTCGCACAGCAGCTGTTGCAGTTGGCGTGTTTGCGACGAAACGTTACAAGTTACAAGAAATGTCTCATTCTCAGCTCCGTGCCCCCAAACGGCACAAAGCGCGAACAATGCACTCGCCCAGAGAAGCTCTAAGATCTCCGAAAAGCACATATTTTGCTGTGCTTCACAAAATCTTGCAGGTGAATCGAGACATGTTGCAGAATGATTCTGCTGTTCAGTGTGTATCTGCCATGCAGAGAAGAAGCACGCAATCGACATGAAACCGCATGCCATGGCCAAGGCAAACCAGGCAGCTGGACACTTCACGAAAGCTTGGAGACTTGCGTCGCAATGCAAACCACCAAAGGAGTCCAAACTGTGAAGAATCAACGCAGTGTAATATCCATAGCCCCTGCTCATTGAACCATACCAATCTACCCAAATGTTGATTGTGGTGCACGCAGGGTTGCCTCTATGTCCCTTCGAATTTGCTGGTTGGCAGCCAATTGTTTGAGGGTTTGGGGAAATGAACTTGGAAATCCTAACATAGAACACAAGGGATGGTTCGGTTTGGGAGGTCCCTGCCCATGGAAGCTAAGGTTGCCACCTTGCGCCTGGGAGCCGATGGCCGCGATGAAGACATCCCCTGGGGTGGGAGAGGCGCGGACGGAGTCCCCTTCTCCTCCAAATTGGGGGGTGACACAGTTACTGACACAGGGGGATCTCAGGATGGCCAAGGCTGAAAGCAGGATGACTCTGTAAGGATCTTCACCGATAACAACGTGTATGCCTGCCACGACCGGTAGGGAACGCTCCTTCATGGGACATGTCACCAGAACTGTCCATGAGAAGCTACGGCCCAACCAGCTCTAAAGCTGAACCAGCCGGGGTCTGCTCAAACCCCAAGGCAAAGGCTGTCGCCCCTGCATCAGGTTTGGGGTGGCAACATCCCCCAATAAATTTGCACTTAGGGGGTTCTTATAGACCGCAGCTCTCCAAAGTGGGGCCATCTCGTTGCAGCCAGCGCGCGATCATTTCGCAGCTCCTGCGGAAGCGATCGCAACCCTTCTGAGGCGATGTAAGAATCTTCGACAATGTTCGACAACAAGTACTACTGGGGCCTACATGATCAGAACGGGGGTAAGTTCAAACCGAGTGTAGTCATGAGTATAGGAGCAAGCTATTTGTCAGCAATTATTTGGCTGCTTATACTACTTTGCTTCTGCACTGCTGGCACGTCGCACATTCATAGTCGTGCCATCCGGTGCCCCAATGGTGCATTCAAGCCCCGAAGTACTGGTCCTCATTGACGAATTGCAGCGCCTGCCAGCTGTAGCTGCATTTGGCATTGTCCTTGAGGATGGAGAGCAGGAAGGACCGGTCGCTACCTGAAAAAAAAAGCTCCGACATTTGCACAGCATTGTAGTCAAACACGCAGTCCAAAGTGATTAGGCAGGAAGGCAGCAAACAGACGTCCAAATGAGGATGTGCCAAAATGTGGGGTCCCAGAATTGTGGCTTTCCCTTCTTTGCTTTCTCTTTGCTTCCCTTTCATAAATCAAACCAACCTGACACGGCTACCCTGAAAAACACACAACCAAATTTGGTTTTGCCTAGGTCTAGGCCTCCAAAATGGTACAAATGAGTGTGTGTGTGTGTGTGCGCGTTCTTTCCGTATTTGAGCATTTTTTAAGAGAAGCAAATGCAAAACCACCACTTGAGGGGATCCCTATGTAGACACATACCCCATGCCACTGGCGACCATTGGCCCGAAAAAGGAACATGGATCTGGCTGTCCCAGGCAGCACTGCTACATATACGTAGTTGTTTGGCTCATAAACCAAACGGAAAGAAAGGCCCCGAGTTCAAAGCATATGGGATCGTCCGAGATCCGCCTGTAAAATGTCCCAACTGCTTGTGAGGTCCTTAAACATCAGTGCGCTCTTGCAAAAGACGGTTGGAAAGTGGAAGATTAACTCCATGTTTGTGCTTGAACACAAGATGCAAAGGCCACCTGAGTTCAACGTAAAGGACAACGACGCAGTTGCCAAATTGCCAAAGTTCTGACTCGATATTCCCAGTCCGGAATTCTACATTTGGGTACGTGTCAAAATGTGGGCCCCCCTACAAAAAGGTGGCTCTCCTTTTGCTTTCGGAGTAAACCGACCTCAAAAAACATAAACCCAATATCCATTCTCCTGCCCAAGCGCAACCAGCACCAGGAACGCAAGCTGTGTTTCACAACAAATAGCTCGGCTTCCATGACCTCCGGACTCCAGCGCCGGCCGAGCATCACCCTAGTCCTTTTGGGAAATGCAGGACATGATGGCACTGGCAAAACCAATGGAATCCACGTGGATGTGTCTTTTTCGGAGGGTACCGTTTTGGGGCTTACTGTGAAGGAACGTCATTTTGGGGGTCCCCTAGTTTGAAACACACCCATGTATGTTCAACCAACCTGACCTCAATGACTCAACGACACCTACGAGTTATTACTCCCCCCTCCCAGGGGACCCCCTGCCCTGACTCAACACCATCGGTCCCAGGTACTTCTCTGATACCCAAGTAGGATTCCCATCCTGGCGACCTCACCACCGCTAGCTCCCTCGGCACAGAAACTGGCCACCCAAAAACTGATTTTCCAGATCCCAGGTGCAAATCCGCTGGCGCACCGGCTCAAGCTCTGCCGTAGTCACCGGCACAGGCACCACAAAGGTCTTGGCCAGGTCCCACCACAGCTCCTACGGACACCCTGTGCCCTCTGTTGTTTCAGGGTACCTGTTGTTCACCTTGGTTCAAACACAATCTCTGGGGTTGCCCTATTTGGACACATGGGTACTTGGCCAAAAATAGTTAGTGGGTTGTGGGGGACTTCAAAACCAATGTAAATCAAATGATCAGTGGGTAGTTTGTTGAACCCATATTTTGTTGGCCGAGCTTTTGGTAGATATCGGTTCCACCTTTTTTGGTCGACCAAACTACTTTGGAATTGGTCGCCATTAAGACTAATTGTTAATATGAGTCATGAGTCATGGTCAAAGCTCTCTTGATGGTAACCTGGCAACCTTTGCTTTGGTCCAAACAAAAACAGGTTAGTAATCGTACCAGCGCCGATGGAGAGCGATTCTCCGAGGGGTGAAAAGTTGTCCTCTTCGAGTTCCTTGCCTTCCCAAAAAGATTGAATACCTCGAGGGCTATGACGGGGGCACAGGGTGGAAGCCATGACTCTTCGTCAGCGATGTCCGGGACTTGGAGAATGTCTGCTTCGGATTAGCGATTGAAGGCCTGCAACATGAGTGTCTCCACACAAACAATCTGAAGATCTTATTGTATAGACACGTTGTTCTAAAACCTAAGATGCTAGCCAGACTCCTGTGTACAGAAACGGCTCCTCAGGCTGGGTGTGTTTCGGGAGTCCATGCTAATCCGGGTTGAACCTAAGCATGTTGGCCGAGCCAGGCACTCAAGGCGGGTGTGGCCTAAGCTTGGTTGGACCTAAGGGGGGATGCTCAAACAGGGGAAGCCAAGAGAGCACCGAGAAACACACTGTGCGCAGACACCGCAACAGAACCACCTTGGCGGATGGGATGTGCGTACATGTGTTTCTTCGTTGAAGAGGCTAGTTTGCCATGTGACGGGACCTCTCGTCATCATCTTCCAAGGTCTTCATAAAGGCTTGATCGACCGTGCAGGAATAGTTGGCAAAAAGGCCAAGCATGTACTATGATGTTTTACGTGCCCACCCACCCAAAAAAATCGCAAGTGCACACAGGATGAGGAACCATATTGCTGTTTTCGAGCTTCTCGCAACTGGGGGGGTGGGGGGGGGGGGGCGAGATGACACGAAACCCTCGCGGGTGTTGCGTTTCGACCCTGGGGCCTGCTGCTGCCATGGCTGCTCGTCCTCGAACTTCAGCGTCTGCTCGAGGGGCTTCGCCATGCAGGGTTGGGCCAGCCCCTTCGTAACTTGCGCAGGATACGAACCTTTTGTTTCCACCACCTTTCGGAATCCATTTATCCATTTACAATTCACCAGTCGGGGGGGGGTTCCCTAAGGGAACCAGGCTGTGAAAGAAACCCTTGCCCAGCCCTGCTGAGATCCCAAGCCGCTTTCCAAATCGGCCAGGAGATACTGATCGAGACCCTGGACTCCCTGGAGCTCAGCTGCAACCCGTAGGACGAGCAGAAGCAAAACAAACAAAACGCAGAAATGGCACGCAGCATCCTGAGGGGAAACCAGTTTGTCGCGGAGTTGATTAAATTGAATCTAAGAGCAACCACTGTTTTTGTGGGATGTGTTTCTCAGGAACAAAACAAAAGCAAAGGGCATATAGTGAAAGGCCAAGTCATATAGGAAAACTTCGGGGGAGGCGGATTAATGAGCGCATTTAGCTTGGGCTGATCATGCTGATCAAGGATGAACAGGATGAACCTCCCATGGATCGCCGTCGGTTCAGGAGAGCAACACTACACCATGACCATGCGGTTCAAGCTTGTACAAAGGAAATAACCTTAGCCTTGTCCATACTTGTCCGCTGGTGAGTGCAACATAGCATCTGCTAGCCTGCGAAAGGGTGGTGTTTCCTAAACTCGACCATTCCGCTTTGGTGAAAATTGGAGTAAACCAGCAACTTGCCGAGGTCCCCTGTTTCAGAACTAGTTTGGGAAAGCACAGCCAAAGCAAATGGCGAACTTGTATGCCATTTCAAGCTATTGACATGGAACACAAACGGCCCAGCTGCAAGGACCAAGCTTTGGGAATGAGGGCTCGCCATAATTCCATTCACACATCACCCCACCAAAAGGAAACTCTCTTCTAAACTCGCCAAAAGCGAAAATCATGGATCCTGTTGCCCCCGTTTGCCAAGCCTTTCTCACGCCGCTCTGAGCGCCCCGGACTTAGCAGCTCCCAAGAGAGACAAAACCGCCTCATCGAAATCCCCAAAGACGCCTAGCGGGCGTTGCGAAAGCGCAGTACCCTTCTCAGCAACAGAAACAACACCATTTGTGGGGGGGGGTCCCCGTGTTTAGACGCATTTTCACACATACGCGGATGCCCTACCATGAGTCTCACCTACTTACAAGTGCTGTTATGGAACTTAAGATGACTTACGGAGAACTTATGAAGTCTAGATATAAGTGTACTTATAAGTAGTTCGTAAGTAGCGTAAGTAGTTTGCGTTCTGCGGACCCCTTTTTTTTGACGCTGCGCAGGCGCACACGGTTCATCTCGTCTGAAGCCTTTTTTTTGGACTCAACGGATACGCTTTGTCGTTGTTCCAGAGCGAAAAAGGCGACGGACGCTGACCCCCCCGAAAAAAAAGAGAAAAAGACGCGCCGACCTTTTCTGGCTCAAAGCATTCCGGCGCACATTGCAGTTCAGTTAGTGCAAGCAAATCACGCGCTGACCCTCAAAGCGCCACCACTGCGGCATCAGCATGTGCTCCAGCAGCCATAGAAGTCGAGTCGGAGAACCTACATAAAAAGCTATAGAGCCAAAAAGATAAGCAGATGCAGCAAGGCTCGGAGAACGTATACACAAAAAGCTATAGAGCCAAAAAGATAAGCAGATGCACCAAGGCCCACATTTCGCGATTTCGGACTAAGCCCACCGACGTCTCACCGACTTAGCACTGACATGCTCGCGGCGCCACGATGCCCCTACCGACGTTCACCGACATGGATAAACCTCTATATATTTTCAACAGACTGGGGGTCCACCGACATGCACCGACGTATTTCGGCCCAGGAATCTTGGAATCCCAGCCCACCGACAACCCGAAGCCGCGATGGCCCCAGACCCCCACCGACCCCCACCGACCGATCACCGACATTCGCGCCCCGTCCTCTTTTTTTTCAAGTAAGAGGGTCCAGTCGGCTTGAAAAGGAACCGCCCCCCCCCCCTTCCAGCCCCGCCCTCCCCCCATCCCCAGCGCTTTTTTCTTTTTCCTCCATCTCCTCAAGTTCCCGCTCGCGCCGGAGCCAGCAAGATGCCGGCTACCCGGCTGACGCAGAGCGGCGGATACACCGCTCGATTTTCAAAAGATGACCCCAGATGAAGGGAAGAGAGGACCTGGTCAAGCCTGCGCTCTGGACCCGCGTCGCGCCATGCATGTATATATCTCTCTTTTCGCAAAAAGAAGGGTTTCGCTTCGCTCTGTGCTGCGTCCACTTCCTTAAAAAACACAACGTTCCAGTGCCGGGAAGAGCATGCTCTGCGCGGACCCTTGAAAACAAACAAACATCGCAAGTAGCGTAAGTAGTTTGTAAGTCTGCCAAGTATGTCCCACATAAAAAGCCTATGTCACTTATAAGTCCCGCCGTAAGTATGCTAACTTTTCAAGAACTTATGGTACTTATGGCATTTATAACTTCTGTTGCGGGTCTTATAACTGCTGTTGCGGAACTTATAAGTGATGTTATAAGTAGGCGAGACTCATGGTATGGAAGGCGTGTGCTAATTTGCAACATTGGCAACGAGCGCTGATGGATGCCGAAGGGGACAAACATGTAACATGCCTCCTAGTTCTGACAATGCCAGAATGCCCATCCAAACCAAATAGAAGAAACGACAACATCCTGAAACAAATGGGATGGACGGAAACCCGATAAATACTAGGACAATCCACCTGCAACTTATTCTGTAGGCGTTAGATGTCTTTGCCTTCAGCTGTGCACATCTGTAGACAGCATTCATCCTCACCAACAAAAGACGCCCGCTATTCCTCGAATTGCATCCCCCCAACTGCCAAATTAGCCTCTTCGCTTGCTCAAAGAACGTAGCCGGAAAATGGACAATCCTTCCCTGTGGAACCTTGATTAAACACGCCAAACCACACCGTGTTCGGATTCCTATTGGATTCTGATCGGAAACATCGTGTGCCACATCAGTTTCAATTAGCCAGGAACGAACGAGGTTCTGACAGCCTCTTGGTGGCGGAAAGTTTGACTCACTACTGATTGGATGAAGCTCTACCTATCCAAATCCGCCAAGAAATCGCAAGGTGCGAATCTTCAGCCGTCTCTATTTGGAGAGGATTGATTCTCACCTGAGTGGTAAATCAATAGAATCACCCAAGTGGCCTCTAAGGAATCAGAACTTCTGGGACGGATGCTTAAAGAGGGGAGCTGAACAGCATATTCGGGAAACGCCAGCTATGGGGTTTTTGGACCATCTTCGCGCGTCTTGGACGGGCAATTCAACAAAGCATATATTCAAGGAAGGGCCGATATTCCCAGGGCATGGGTTTTGGGTAGCCCCAAAGGCAGGTTGGGACTTGTTGCACCCCCGCAACAAGATCAACAAGAACATACAAGAACCAAAGGGTTGAAAGGGCCTGAGAAGGGGCCTGATTCGTTGCGTGTCACCCCGCCACCCCTTGTGCTGAAATTCCGTCCCCGTCCAGCTGGTTGCTGTGCCTCTGGTCTGCCCTTGGAAGGTGGCCAAGCTCTTCTTGAAGACCTCCAGGACTGCCTGGAACCAGCCATGGAACGGGCCAAAACAGGGTGCCCCAAAGAAAGGGTCCCAAACATTTCGCCAGTGTTTTTTTTCTCCAAACAAAAGGTGCGCCTAGCTTTTGGGGGGGCGGCTCATGGCTCAACTCAAGGGATATCAATCAAATGAAAGCGTGAAGCACCTGCGCTTGCTCGCCTATCTGCGATCATCCAGGGGTGCCCCGTAATTTACATTCGTGCGGTTGGTGTATGTGAAATATTTAGCAACTCCACAGCCAACGGTTTCAGCCCATGATTGGTCTTGAAGAGCAAACAAACCTGCATAAAACCGACCGCTGTAGGGGATTGGCTTTGAGATAAGCTGATTTATGAAGGCTTAGTTGAGTTGAAGCGGTGCTACCCGCTGCTTTGCAGGACAGCTGTGCCTGAGTTGCATGGGCAAGGAACTACTTGTCCAATCTACAAACCCTGGCAACAAAAACAAAGAGTTACGATACTACGATACTAGTTGGTACGCATCATGAACAAAGGGCACCCAATGATTCCAGGACACCCGATGCCTGTGCACACACCATACACACCTGTATCTATGCTCTGTGCAAACCGTGTTGATTGCCAGCGAACTGTAAGCTCAAGGTCAAACGCCCTGCCCTGAGTAGCCTCCATTCTCGACATCTGTGGATACTTGATCACCGCCAACCGTACGACCTCGGCAACTTGATTCCAAAAAGAGAGAGAGAGAGAGAGAGAGAGAGAGCGAGAGAATGGGGAGGGCGGCAAGGAAGCAATCAGAATCATACCCTGGCCCATGAAAGTGACATCACCCCAACCCTTCAATCTTGAAGCTTGAGAAAGCTCCTGGCTTGAATCATGTACCTTTGCAAGGGACCGTGCCAGGTTACGTGTTGGTGGGAGACGCTGGGAGGTAGTCGCAGCCAGCTCTTGAGCAAAGCCTCCTTCGTTGGTGCGGATGACTGACGCTTGGTCACGGTCCCAAAACTTAACCTGAGTTGACTGGCTAAGAAGCGCTTTAGCCACGAGCAGGCCTTGATTCAAAACAATAAAGAAGTCTACCCGCAACGCGAACTGAGCTTACAAAACTCACAAATAAGCATAAGCAGACGTCCACGGAATAGTGCTTGATCTTCTCTACGGCAACTTTAGCTATCGCAACAGCCATGGACCCAGGCAACAAGCTAACTTTACTGGAACCCAACATGAAACCAATCAGCTCAGGTCCCATCCCGGGGCTTTTCAATAGCACCTTTCGGGCTTCTTTCAGGCTTTGTACCGTTGCACTTCTTTTTAGGGTGATGTTTTGGGGTGCCATTCAAGGAAATTCAGGGGGAGCACCATTCGAGAAGTCCCCTATTTTCAGTCAACATGTCCTGGCCCAAATCTGGAGAACAGAGAAAAACGAGTTTTCCGAATCGCTTTCATAGTGTGTCACCCCAGGAAACATGTCTTTGGAGGAGACCCCCAGCTCTCTCCCCGCCAAAAGAAGAAATGGTCCGCTGCACCGCCAGGAGCCCCCGGCTGCATCGCGGAACTGCGGCAGCAGCATGTGGGGGGAACTCCCACAAACCTCGGGACACGGTGAAGCTACTGTCTTTAAAAAAACAAAAAAAACACATCCTTGTGTGTTTTACCTTGATAACGCCAACTCACAATCCTTGCGGGTCAAGAGGAGCCAAAAAGAAAGGCCCACGCTAATCTGTTATTGAACAAACGTTAAACGCGTCCTGCCCTGTGATGCACGGGTATGTGTCAAAATAGGCACTTGAACCTTCAACATGATGGCTGTTGCTAGTGGTGTCCCTTTAAACCCAGGCGAAAGGGTACTCACACAAAACACACGCGCACACACACAAACACAAACACAAACAAGCACACAAACACACAAACAAACAAACAAACAAACAAACAAACAAACAGACAGACAGACAGACAGACAGACAGACAGACAGACAGACAGACAGACAGACAGACAGACAGACAGACAGACAGACAGACAGACAGACAGACAGACAGACACACACACATGGACGCCCCTTGCGAATGGATGCTGCACTTTGGCAAGAATGGCAAGGGCAAGCGCGAAGAAACGGATCTTTGGAGCAGCTAGTGAAAGAGATGTCGAATCAGGAGACCCAGACAATGATTGCATAGGAGAAAAAAAAACAAAGGGCAAGTAAGCCAAGGAAAACCTACGGAAACCCCAACAATGATTGGTTCCCTTTAGGTTTGCCTCTAAACAGTGCGGGTCTTCAATCTCTACAACATCCCCAAAGTCCAAGATGAAAGAGCGCGCATCCTAAGTACGGACGTCATGCTGGCGCTGGCTGCTTCATGCCTTTGCAGCCACTCACACAAACATTATGTTTATGCAAACAACGCGCAACATCATGAGAGCAACCTGCTCATGCCTTCAAGCCCAAGCCTGTCAAGAATGCGCGCATTGCGCAGTCCTCGCCTGCCAGGCACGTGAGCGAAAGGAAACTGTGTTTTGGGTTGCTTCCACTGGCATTGCCAGCAAGACAAACAAGCCGACCCAGCACCAACCTCTTTAGCGGCAGCTGACCGGGATTGGGTGCTCGCTGGTCCCAACCCTTGAAGCTAACTCCAAAGGCTCCCCAGCGGCCTGTTGAACCCGTCTGAAGGCTGACACCAAATTCCGACACATGGCATCACACGATAAAACCAGCAGGCTCGAGTACCGCTTTCGCTAGGACTTAAAATGATATTGTTTAAACAGGGGTGTTTGAACATGCTTGAACAACCGTTTGGCCCACCCAAGTTGTTCGAAGACTTGGATGTGCCTCAAGCGTGTTTCCTCGCTGTGACAAACCCGCGCGCCCTTTGGTTTAAGGTCACTTTGGTTCCTGCTGAAGCATCCAAGTGTTTGGGAACGTGAAGCGAGCAACGAGACCTCCCCTTTTTTCGGGTCCTCCTGGTTTCGAGCTGGTTTCGCTATGGTTTTCCATCAACAAACCCTCAAAAG